TGGCATGTAATATGTTTATTAGCATTATAAAGGAATACAAAACAATTGAATGTTACAATATAATATATTATGTTTTGTTTAGTTTAAATTTATAACTTTTAAATACCAATTAGTTATCTAGTAATACGCCGTAATCATGGATGTGTTATAAATTGTAATTTAATGATGATAATTGCACTGAGTAAGAGGAAAAACGGKTTTTAGCGAAAGAGATTGGTGAATCATCATATTTTCTTTCCGAAGATGATTTATCTTTTACATTGTATCAGATATATTTCTATTTCTATTTTTAGTATTCTGTTAATTCTGTAAGTTTCATTAATTTTTGTCAAAAACGTCACGTATAAGTTACAACTCACAAGTTAATACCAACGATATGTAGAACACCTAGTGTGGATAGGTCCGTGGAATAACAACAGCTTCAAAACAGTTCAAAATTAGTCTAAATATTTTGAAAATTGTATTGAACGAAGAAAATAATAGTTAATGCATCAAAGATTAAAATCTATACGGTTAATATTATTTTTGACGAGAATCAAAATTGTCAAGATCATTGCAAATCAACAAAAAAAACAAAAAAAAACAAAACAAAACAATTTGTAACATCTATAAGAAGGTCAAATGAATTAAACTATTTTGAAAATATTTAATATGTTATGTCTAGAAAATTCTAATCAAAATATATGGTGATCATTTTGAATTTTTACAGTGAATTCATTGTGAATTCCAACAAAAAACCACAAAATCTTTGTTATCATGATAAAATTAGCGAATAGAATCCATCTCAAAATATAAGATTATGGAAAATTTCCTTTTTTTTAGACGTGATTACAGAAACTGACTAAAAAAACAGGTTTGTACACATAATTGCAAAAACATTAGGTTTAGGTCCACTGATAGGAGAGGGTAATCCTATAAGAACATTTATATATGGCGGTTCCATTTTCTTCCAAAATCCAGATACCGTTTTCCTCCATAATGTTTTCGATTAAAGCTATGTCTATTTTCCTCCTATATTTTAGCAAATATTTGTTGTCGTAGTATTACGTTCAGTTTTAAAAATATAGAGTAGGTAAAGCTAGAATCAGTAGAACCACATTTTTCGCCTATCAGTTGATGATTACATTCTGGTGTCGGCTATCTATATCATTTATCGATTAAGCCTAATAAAGATACTTACATAATAAGTCTTATAAGTTATAACATACGGGCATGTATACGTATGTACTTAAGAGGACGCCACA